TGACTGCATTTACTCAGTTCTCAAAAGTATATTCTGCGATCTACAAAACTTGTAAAATTAGGCCCAAAAGGTACTTCTTAAACTCGCTCTAGGCCGTGTTACTGAACCTGCATGTTAGAAAATCAGGTTTTACAGATATATCTCAAATTCGCTGCAGACTGCAAATTTACACGCTGAGAGAGTTCATAGAGTTTCTGTGGATGCATTATGGTTCTACAAGCGCCACTCGTGAAGGCAGAGGTTAACAACCGATGTGAAATGCCTATAGTTGTAATAAACTTTCAGTAGAAATGGTTTGCACTTCTCTTTTTTCACAAATCTTTAAGAAGACATATAAAAAGGTCGGAAAAACTGGGTTTCCATAATTTCTTTTTCATCAAATTTAAAAGAAGCACATACGCGAGGTCTGTAAACGAAGACTGGAGATGACAGTAGTAGTCGTTCTGGAGGGTTTATGAGCTGCGCCACCAGTATTTCATGAACGTCGCCTCCAGAAGAATGTTGCTCGCTCTGTTGATTTTCACACGGCGAGTTTTGAGGCTTGGGAATGCAGTCCGTACGTGAGTTTGCATCCATTTCATTTTCGCCATAACGCTTGTGTTCACTTGCTGCTGTATCGTCCACCAATGCAGTTTGTGACTGGGATATTGCGGCACTGGCTTTTTTTTGCGCGTAAGCAGCCTTGAGCTTCACCTCAACGGCAATTTGATCGCGTCGCCTTCTCTGAAATATCTAAGTAAAGCAGCCTATAGTTGATTTCTAAGATTAAAAACACCCAGCTTCCCAATGCAATCCACTTTTCGTTTTCCTCCATAAAAATGCGTCGCCTATATTACTTTACCGTTCATGTGGTTGAGCAAAACACTTGTTTTAAATTCTCGGGGCCAATTTTAACATTTCATTATTGTTTGCTTCTTAAAGAAATTTGCCATTTGGAGCTGGCTCCGATAGTTCTTTTTTTTTTTTTTTTTTGCAGGATTTCAGATATCATGCTTTTGCACTAAATACTGCGCATAATGGTTGCATTTTCTATATTTTCATTTACACATATGAATAAAAAAAACACCGTGGCAGGAGACAATAAGAACATCTGTACAATCTAGGAAGCTGGAACTCTGAAAGCAGCCCTCTCACCAATGTATGAACCCACTCGCTTCTGAGTTTGCGATAAAGTTGAGTATTGTCATATCTACGCTCATGAAATTTCACCTCCAAAATGAATTAAGTCTGCACGTGAATACAGAATATCCTTGCAAAGTTTCACCTTCGCATCTTCCCAGGGAAGCGAAACAGCCACTTCGCTACAAATAACTTTGAAGTGCTCTAATCTTGGCTCAAGTGCAAATAGAAATTCAGACTAGGTAGACGACTTTCTATATGGACGATAAATATCCTGACAAAATTTCAGCTACTTTTTTCCGGCAAGTTTTCGAGTTAACACAGTGCCAACTACCAACTTTGATGTGACCACACGTGCGGTACAAGCATGTGCAACAGCCGAATCTGAAATTTTTTTGTTCATACACGCACAATATACCTGCGAAGTTTCAGCTTTCCATCTTGTCTGGCTCACGGGATCGTTTCTCACCAAAGAAACTTGCATATTTTTTTTTGAGGGACCGTACGCGAGATCTAGGCATGTATGAGCGAAAATTTTAGAGTGGGAGGATGGCACACGGGGTGGGAATATGTTCCCAAAATTTCAGCCTCCCAACTTTTCTGGTTACTGAATTGAAAGTGTGTGACAAAGTTCATTCGTTTCCGAACATGCACATACACGGACGGCCTCTCGACAATATACGTTTTTGCTTACTGTAGCAGCTATAGCGCTGCACAATAAAAATGTATATAAATAAACAACAGTTAATGTAAGCTCTGGGCTTGAAATTTTAACATAAGATTGTTGAAATCTGGAACATTGACACAGAGTCTCAAAGTATTTTTCAGATTGTCGTCTATTACGTTCGTGCTTATTTTTATTTATTTTCGTGGGAGTGCGAAGGTGTAGTGAAGTACAAGTCCTCCGTTCGCCTAGTTAGTCGCCATATTCCGATTCCTCCAATGGGCCGGATGCGGCCGAGGACTGCCTGTTACCACATGTGGTTTATATGATCAAGAAGAAATATTCCAAGTATCCTTTGCTCAATTGCTGTCTCGGTAACAACCAACGTCTGCTTTTCCGCTTTCATCAACGATCACATTTTACATCTATCACTGTTTTCATCAAGGCTTTATTATTAATGAGGTCAGCAAGATTAAACAGTCTGAAGGCGCTGAAGATATTGTGAGATTCAAGTCAATTGACGGCCCATCGACGTCTAATCACGTAAGCAGACTGCGGCGATTATGTACTTTCTGGCCGAAACAAACGTGACTGCAAATCTTTCTTTCTTATCAATACCTTTATTTGCAGTTTTACTGAAAGCATATCAATGTTCTGACTTCACATTTGTTATGCCTTTTGTACTGTGCAACTGCAGCACAAAACGCATATTGTCACGCCTCTGTTTGGGTGTGTATTTTGTTTGTGTGTGCACGTGTATGTGTGTGTCTCTGTGTGCATTTTGTCTCGCACTTTCAACCTGGGAACCACAGAAGCTAGGGAGCTGAAATCTTAAGAGCATACTTCTTGCCCAAATGCGACCCGGGAAGTTTAAATACAGCCTTTCCGTGCCCCTGGACATCACGTACAGCTCCGTGAAATTTTTAGAGGAGAAATTATCCCGGGAACCACTGAAACCAGGGAGATGAAATTTTATGAGAATGTCTCCCGCTCAAGTGCGACCTCGCAAATCTAAATTGAGCCACTCTGTGCGACTTTGTACCAAGTACGGCCCCATGAAAGTCTTGTTGATGAAAATTATTATCTCGGGAATCACGAAAGCTAGGGAAATGAAATTAACAAGAATGTTTCCCGCCCATGTACGACCCGCAAATTCAAATCCAACTTTTAATTAAGCCTGGGTCTCATTTACGGCCCTGAAAGTTTCGGCGGGAAAAATCACTATCTCGGAAGCCACAAATGTCAGGAAGCTGAAATTTTGAGAGAATGTCCTTCGCCCACGTGCAATCTCGGACTCAGATTCAGCTTTCATGAATGTCTGGGTCTCTTACATGACCCCACGAAAGTACTGGAGGGGAAAATTATTATCTCGGAAAATAGAAGAGCTATGAGGCTGAAATTTCAGAAGGGTGTTTTCTGTTTATGTTGGGATCTCCCAAATTCAAACTTAGCTCCCAAGTATACCGAGGCCTTACGCACGATCGTGCGAAATTTTTTGGACAAAATTAATCAGTTCGGAAGCCGAAAAAACTAGAAGGTTGAAATTTGGGAGGATTCCCCCCATTCAAAGTTTAAAATTCAGCTTTCACGCAGTGGTACGTAAAATTTTTAGTGGGGAACTTTGCAGCTTAGAAGCCAGACAACATATCGACTATTTTTGTACACGCGAAAGTGTAAAACAGTTAAATTTTTAGCAGGCAGATTTCTGCTGGGAGGAACTGCACAAAACGCGTGATCGCACTGGCAACCCTGGTGCGCGCCGCTACTTACTAATAATGTTTTTTAGGCACATATCTGTGTGCACCGAGCTTTAGCATCTCATTCATTATGCGAGCGCCGTTGGCAGTGAAAACTGTACCATTATAGAAGCATGAGCAGTTTAACGCTTGCTTCGTACCACCATCAGGCTCAGCTTCTATAAACCATATCGAAACAAGCTTTGAGGGGCCTGGACGATACAAGTTCTTCATTCCTTTCTTCCCCTTCCCCAGTTCTTATATCTGTCAAAAGCTTATGTCTCCTCCATATATCGTTTTGGCATAGTTTCCAACGAACTTTTTCCTTCACAGGGGCTTGTAAGAGCTCCCCGCTCAGCACTATTAATTGAATTTTGGTAATTGGCATCAAGGTAGAGAAAGGAAATTGTTATTTTTTTTTGGCGCGCTTCTGGATCCGTTTTAAGATGGGAATATGGTTTGCTGTGCCTTAAATCACCTCGGAATTCAGCTTAAGACTTAGCTGCTCTCATTTGAACAGCCTAATTATTCGACTACTAGCAACCTTCCTGAATGGTTTATAACCGAAAAACAACTCCGTGATAATTTTCAGGATGAAGACTTCGACCTTTTTGCACAGCAAAACGGTTTTCGATTGATTTTAACTTGCCAAGTGTCGTTTCTTCATTCAGAAACGAGCAGGAGTGGATGGTGGAAAGATTTTCAAAATTTGTGACTTTTAGCGCTGACGAGGTCAGTACTGTTGCCAACGCTTCAAAAGCTTTCATGCTTTTCATTCCTCCGATTGTCTTGCTCTGCTGGTAAAAACAGGATAAGTCTGCTGTCTACTGGTAAGATAGAGGTACTGGATGTTCGCACAAGGCTCAAACAGTTACACGCATCTCCCTGTCCGTGGTTTAAGGATCATTCTAAATCTTAATCAAGACAGTTATTAGGTCGTGTAGTGGAAGTTACCTCCTGTTTTTTC